TCCAACCTGAGACAGTTTTATATACACAGCAACGATTTATATAAAGTCTTTGGAGATCTTATAAGACCCCTTTGTTCAAATACTTCTAGAGACACATTTATTTTAACAGAGAACAGAATAAGTTGGTAACAGTAAAAAATATGCATACAAGGGTATCCTTTGATACAGGATAACAAGCTTGATATGCCAGGGAATTTTCTTAGTTTAAAACCTCTTCAAATAAGGGTTTTTAAGCTGGTTTATGACACAAAATGTTCTCTCCCCTCTAGTTGGATAAGAGAGGGAACATCTTTTATTTGTTTCTGCTTGTACTTTGTGAATTATGAAGACTTTCATTTTAAGGTCAGAATTTGAAATTTCACTAGTCATCATTCAAAACAAAATGCAAGCCTACTAATTTTACTGGTGGAAACCAAGAAAGGGATTGATTGGATTTTACTCAATAATGGTGAAATAAGGACCATACAGCATGTATTCCGCAGAGTCAGTACTGTCACTCCCTATTGTCATGTCTATGAATGCCTCACTCACTGATTTAGGAGTCCTGGAGTATACATGAACCCACGGGGATAAAGATGTTTAAGGGTACATTGGCAGCAATATTTTAAGGGAATCAAACTTTCTGTTGTCGACTTCCATGTGCACTCTTGCATAATACTGACCTACCCGAGAACATGCCTGCTTAAGTGTTTGAAGCTGGTTCTCCTTTCCCTCTACTCTTTCCCACTTACCCTACTAATTTACCGAAGAAAGGCACAGCTCTAACCCATCCCAAATAATGATATGTTGCCCTGGGAATAAAATCTCTTTAATGGTACCAAAGAGACAAAGACACCATAAACCAGAGTTTATACAAGTTCTCATGTCTTTCCCTGTCTTTCCATATCTTATGGGGGTTAGGGGCAAAGCTGTTAGAAAGGTATTAGAAATGCGTGTGCTGGCCCATGTTGAGATGTTCTGAACGCCAGTGTATTATAGAGAGGTAGGACAGAATTTACGACCGTTTTCTCTCAAGATCTTGCTTCTTTCTTACTCTATTAAAAAGTGTTTGGCTCCTGAGGGAGAGTTTCACGAGGGCAAAACAAAGAGAGTGTAAGAAATATTGCTAACAACTGCATTTTATTTCATCTAGGTAACAAATTTACGCACAACTCTACGCCTGCTCTATTCATGTGTGAGTTAGGCTGTATCAGGATAGGCTGGGTTATGTTAAGGTAACAAACAACTCCAAAATCTCAGCGTCTTAAAACAACAAAGGTTTGTTATTTGTTCCTGTTATACCAGTCAGTTGAGAGAGCTGATGAAAGTGCCACTATCTGGATCACAGCCAGTTGTTGTGTCAGAGTGAAGGAGAGTTTTGGAGTATCTCAAACCAGGTATTAAATGTCTCACCCCAGAATTGACACACAATACTTCCAACTCATTGGTCAGACCAAGTTACATAGCTCCACCCAACCACAAAAAGGTTGGAAAATCCTACAAAAAGCATAATGCAAGAAGCTGGAAATATTGTGTGAACAACATTAATGCTATCTCAAAGAGTATTTAAGATATGTAAAATCATGCTGGAAAATATCAACTGGCTTCAAAGAACAGTCTCCCTGCATTTTCACCATTCTCAGTAAAGGGCAAGCGTGGTTATCTCAATCACCCATGACTCCGTCTATTTCTCAGTTGCATAATCTGCATGATTTCAAAAAGAAGATGAAAAGTCCTTTTACTTCTGATAGAGCAACACTATATCTTCAAGAAAAAGAAATGCATTGAAGGTAAGTCAGTGTTTTATATTTTCTCGAACAATTTAGAAAAACTGTTTCATTAATTTTTGAGAAAAAAGTACTGGATACTGTAAATCCATATTCGTATTTTTACTTGTTTGCAAATCTACTTGCTGTCTCTCACCAATCATTTCTCTCTGTTCCTATCAGGATGTGTCGGTAGATTCTGTTGTAAATAACCTACGTAACAACCGTCAATAAATACGCCTTTTTCAGCTCGGCACCGAAGTGGTCTCTAGAATCGAGCTGAGGGAGCCTCGGAACCCGGTGGAGGTGTCCTGAGCCAAGCGGGTCCCGCGGCGGGCCGTTGGCGCCATCCTGTGGCTACCTGTGCACATTGCAGCCCTCGCCCGCCGCTGGGGGCCACAGCTGCCATTGCACCGGACCCAGCTGATGCGAAAGGTGACCGGTGCTTGCTTTTCCGCAACTTCGCTCCCAAACCCTGTGAGAAATTTTTGCTTTCCAAGAGCCTGCAGGAACGAGAAACTAGCTCTAGAGTGGGTCGGCGGCAACGGCAGCAGGCCGATGGTCCGATTCCCCCGGTAGGGGGAGAAGCACCCAACTCATGGGCGGCCCCTCAAAATCCCCACGTAATTGTTTACTCGGGGCCAGCTGGTGTGAGAACCCAGCGGCAGGAGGGAAGGATCGCGGGAGGCCGTAGTGTACGTGGACCCGCGACCTCCCCAGGCGCGTGGCTGAGTAGCACTCCTGGCTAGGCGCCCCCGCCCGCTGTCCGGGCCCAGCCCGCCGGTGCAGGCCGCAGCCGCCGCCGCGTGGCGCAGGGGCTGCTGGGGGCGCCGCGCGGCCTCCGCGAAGCCGAGCCCTGAGAAACCGCAAGCCTCAGGAAGGGGAGGAGGGCTCTGGCCTCCGGGCGAGCGCCCCAGCTTCTCCGCCTGCTGCGAGAGACCCAAGAAAAAAGCAGCGGGAGGAGGTGGCGGCAGGGAGGGAGCGGGTGGAGAGTTCGAGACGGCCGCCCGCCTCCCAGTTTAGCACAGACGCCCTCCCTGCTGGTTCCATCACCATCAGAGCCAGGAAGGAACCCGGGTGGGCAGAATCAGCAAGCCAGCGGGCGGAAGGGCCCCAGGCTCCTCAAGGGCTACCGCAGAATGGATTTGGGAACTGCGGGGCTTGCCCACAAGGTCCACGGCTTGTCCTATTCCTGATGACAAGTTTCCAGGGCTGAGGAGGCCCGGAAGGGATCTGATGCAGCCAGCAGAGAGGAGAGTGCATCGGCTTGGGGTGTGGGGTGCCTTTCTTCGTCCCCAGACTCGGCAGAGGCAATACTAGGGCATCTTGGACCTACCAAGGCTTCTCCTGTGAGGGTCTGGGGCCTATCCTGTAATCCCCAGGGCTTCCAAACCTAAGCACAACCCCCCAGGTGGAGAGGTACGGAGCAGAACAGGCAACTGGTTGAGAGGGTGGGTCAGATAGGGATCGTTCCTCACCTTCCAGGCTCAGTATGGAGAACCCTAAACGCATTCTAGGACCACGGGAGCTTCTCCTATAGAATCCAGGCCCATTTCAGAACATAAGAGGTTCCTAGCCTAAGAACGAATCCCTGAAGTGGACCGACCCGTTTGGAGTAAAACAGGAATCATTGAGTCCATTCTGGGTCTTGGCTAAGTGCCTTCAGGATTTAGGAATTTTCCCCTAGGAGGACCTAAGGAGTAGCCACACCTGCCCAACGATTCCAGGTCGGACAACCAGACAGAATGGAGGCATAGCTGACAGCCGGCTGAGAGGGAGCTGACAGTCCTCATTGCCACCAGGCTTAGCTGGAGACAGACAACACCCCCTCCCACCACCACTACCACCACCCTGGGACTGTAGAAGGGACAACAGGAGAAACAAGGAAACCAGTTAGGAGTCCAGGTGGAGATATTGCTAGCTTGGACTAGCATGGTAGCTGTGAAGCTATTGAGAAGTGGTCACATTTGGAATATGTATTGTGGGAGGTGTCAACAAAGCTTTCTTAGTGATTAGATGTAGAGAATGTGAGAAAGAGAATAATGAGGAACAATGTCTAGATTTTGAGCCGGAGCAATAAACATTTCATTGACTGAACTGGGAAAGAACAAGATGGTGGAGCAGGGGGACAGGGGTAGCAGGAAGCAAAAGTTTTGTTATTGGACATATTGTTTAAGATTCCTGTTAGACATTTAAGTATAACTATTGAAAAAGCAATGGATATATGATTTGAGCCCAGGGAAGAATCCTGGACTGGAGATAAAAATTTGACAATCATCATATAAATGTGGCGTTTAGAGCCATGGGACTAGAAGAGACAATAGACATAAAGAAACAGAAAAGGGTCTAAGGCTGAGCCTTGAGGCATGCCAAATTTTAGAGGTTGTGTAGAAGAGGTGGCAGGGAAGGATACTGATAAGGAGTAGCCAGTGAGGAAGAAGGAAAACAGAGAAGAAAATGTCTCAAGAAAGAAAGACTGAACAACTATGTCAAATTCTTCTGAGAAGACTTGGATCTGGTGGAGAGGAATTGCATTAAATCTATAATTTGGGGGGGATGGATATCATTACAACACTGACTTCTCCAGTCCGTGAACAAGGTATAACTTTCCATTTGTTTATTTATTTACATCATTGTTAATGTGTCAAAACAGTGGTTATAATTTTCCCTCTACAAGTGTTATTAGATTTATTAATATTCCTAGATCTGTCATTTTTGTGTTATTGCAAATGATATTGTTACAATCTTAAGAAGTGATTATTACCAGTCTCATAGCTATAATAGTATAAAAACTGAAAGACTTTAAAGATTTATATACTAAGCTTGGCAATGGAAAACAGTCAAAAAAAAAAAAAAAACTAGGAAGATGAATCTCCAGGCCTCCATAAGGTCTTTCAAGTATAGAATTCTTTGCTAATGCACACTGGTGGTAAAATGGGAGCCAATAAAATTGTTTGCTGTCCTCCTTTTATTCCCCATTTCTTGGTTTGTTTCTAAATGTGTGGTCAAAACTTCCAAAGAGTAAGAAGCTCATCTTCTTGCCTTCCCCCTTCATCTGCATATCACACTAAGCACATACTCCTCTTCAACACTTAGACTTACGGAAGATAAAAAAGAATAAATTGTGGAGAGGGAGCATACATTAAAGGTAAAGATTCCTAGATGTGATATGGGAATTAAGAAAGAAAGAAAACCTCTAAGAAAGACTAGAAATAACTGGTTCGATTATAGAGAAATAAAGATAATTCTCTGAGAGTATTCAATTTTGAAGCAGCAGTGACATGATCTCCAGTGAAACAGCACTCATTGGAAGCCTGTGACTCTGAGGCCCACTTCTTCTGGAAGGGCAGAAAAAAGACCTTGAAGAGAAGAAATAGACAGCTTACAAGTACTATATTTATTTTAGGAAATAATTGCTTTCTAACCTTAATGCAACCATATACCCTGAAATTTTACAAGCTTTGATCACAATAAACTGGAATTCAAATCTTAGCCCTATATTTAAATAGCTCCTTGAATTGCAATTTCTTATCCCAATTTTCTTTCATTCCCCTATAAAATCTAGATCATGGCACATAGCTAAATTTTATTGATTGTTTTCCTGTACCAAAGCCTTATTTGCCTTACACGGAGTATTTCACTTAACCATAATATCTGTTGCTGTCATTGCCTCACAATATGAATAGGGTGGCTTTTAATATTTTTCTATCATCTTCATTAATTTATATAATACAAGTATTGTCTCCCCTCAGTGTTTGGTAAAACTGTCTGGGCCTGGTGCTATTTTTAAGGGTAGATATTTGACTACCTTTTCAGTTTCTCCTGCAGTTATTTTTTATTCAGAGATTCTGTTTTTCTTGGATCAACTCTGGTAATTTGTATGGAAAATTCAATATTTTGTCTACATTTGCAAATCTATTTATATCAAAAATATACATCATTTTAAATATCTTCTATATCTAATGTTATTTATTTGCTTGTTCTCTTTCAATATTAAATTGGCCAAAGGATTAACCCTTTGATTTTCTTTTCAGATAAACAGCCTTTGGTTTTTTAGTTTTATTGATTAATTCAGTTTTAGTGGAATAGGGAGGTATGATCTCTTCCATTGATCTTGAAAATTCCTTTGTGTAGTTTATTCCTTTCACTTTCCTAAAGTTTTTGTTGTGGTCCTTTATTAGCTTTTGAGTTAAATACTCAATTCATTATTTTCAATAGGTCTTTTTTTGAAATGCATTCTAAAGCCACGAATTTTCTTCTGACCGCTACATATAGGTTTTAATATTTATTTGCCATGATACAGATTTCATAGTGGAGGAAAAGATAATTGGGATAAGAAAATGTAATTCAAGGAGCTCTTTAAGTATAGGGCTAAGATTTGAGTTCTAGTTTATTGTAACCAAAGCTTGTGAAATTTCAGGATATGATTGAATTATAGTGCTTTCATTATTAT